TTTTTCTGTAACGCTAATTTAAAGATTAAAAAATGCGATATTATATGCAATTAATCTGTTTATTATTAATAAGGAATATTTTGTAAATAATAACATTGACTAAAGTAACAAACTTAAATAAAAACAAAGAAAACTGGTGTACGTAATTAATATTAAGTTGATAACCATGTACTAGTCTTCATGCTACTAGTAAATAACGTAAAATTATTAAAGATGATACGTATAAATTGATTCTCTTAATATTGCAAATAACGTATTTATATTTTGTATAACAATACAAAATATAAATACCTATTCAATAATCCAGTTATTATAATGAGAGCAATGATAATATTGTTACACGCACAGTTGGCCAAATACTAAATGACTATAGTTAAGACTATAGGCTCAAGATCGATTACAATTGCGTGAGAACATGACCAATACATTTGCATGATCTGTTGTGAACAGGTACTTACCAACTAGTCATTACCTCAGTTTTTATTCATAAATACGAACCGCTACTCGAGTCATTATCCGAAGTTGTTCACGAGGGGACTTAGAGTTTTTAAAGGAATTAAGAGTTTTTGCATTTTTAAGAATTTTTATTATGCACATGGAATATTGCTTCCACTATGTATACGCTAACATCGTTTGATAATAAAAAGGTGGCAGTCTACACTTTACATTCGTCATGGAAGCATCAAAATACTTTGCATACCGAAGTAGTTTTCGTCGTAAATATCAGAACGGATTGTTATTAAAAAAAGGTCAGACAAACTAAACTTTGTCAAAAGTTAAATTCAATCATACGTTACAGATATGTGTTAATAAAGAAAAAAATGTCTTCATTATAAATATATTATTCAAATATTTAGACATTATAACATATATATGTAAAACATATATATGTAAAACATATGTAAACATAGTGGGTTAAATTGAAAGTTATTTCCGTTATTTTCTATTTATGCTAATGCCTTCTCTTATCAAAAATGGAATGGAATTTTCGTTTAATCTAATACATATTATGACGTTCAAAATATTGTAATAATAAAATATGTTTGGTTTGTTTCAGTTTCTCAATTTGTCTATTACTTTGGGTATAAAAATTATCACATTTTGTCAATTGAGTCAAAAAGATTTTTCCTTACGATTATTCGAAAGCAAATACTTTATATCTACCAAATTTAACTCATTCTTAAATTCCAAATATTATTACATACTATTTTTAATATAATAAATAAATACTGACATATAATATATGTTTTGTTTCTTTAATAACTTGGAAATAATGCACCTAAATTTTGCAAGAAATAATGTGTCTTATATTGAATATATAAATTACTTTAAAAGATTATAATCTTTTATTTAAAGTTATTGTAATATTTAATATACAGAGTGATTCAGAACAAGTACGACAAATTTTGTTGGACTTATGTTTATATGATATTTTTTTATTCAAGAGAACTTCTTAAACAATCTATTAAAGTTTGTTATACTTATGCAAATCACCTTGTATATTATAGCTCAATTGCTGTTAGTATCAAGCGATATCTTTGATTTGAAAAATGTTTACACAATTTATTGAAACTTTTTGCAAAAATAGATTTTGAATGGGCAGTGAAGTTAAATCGATGTAGTCTAGAATTAATCGGACTTTGGCCTAGATTCGAACAAACTACATGGGAAAAGTGCGTGTGCAATTTACGTGCGCTTCTTGCTTTCTCAACAATATTATTCGTTGTTACAATTCCTGCTATACATTCCATGATAAGAATTCATTCCGACATTTTACTACTGACAGATAACTTGCAGTTTAGTTTACCAGGCATCGTCTGTGTCCTAAGACTTGCAATTTTCTGGTGGAAGAAGAAAGGTAGATAGAATTACAATTTGGTCATTACACAACTTGAAATTTTTTACAGTATGCACCTTATATGTCAGCATAACTATAATAATCTCCATTTATTATACTTGAAATGTTAAATAAAATTAAAAAGTTTATTAAATAATATTAAATTTTAGAGAAAAATACAATAAGTTTACAGATTCATAAATATTAATAGTAATAAATATGTATATTCATATTTTAACTTCTTAATTTTTTTTACATATATTTTATACAATTACATTTACACACACAGTTATAAATAAACTATTAAAATATTTCTACATTTTCATCTAATTAAAATTTTATTTTATACAAATCAAATTTTTGTGAATTTTATTGAATTATATAAATTGTATTGAAAAATTTCGTTTTTTTATTACAAATTTGTTAACATTAATTAATAAATATTAGTATTTATTATTTTGTATTCTTATTAATATTTTATGTTTTATCTTTTTTAAAGCTGCTGCAACGATAATAGATATGATCGCCGACGATTGGTTAAAAACAAAAATACCTCAGGAAAAAGCAATGATGATCGCACGAGCGCAAATTGCACGCATTATTATTACATGTGGGTTTGGCTTAATGGGATTCGGCTTTGTCGTTATAGTTATTTTGCCCATATTTGGTCACTCGGTGAGATACCTCTCTAATATCACTGATCTGGAGAGACCATTACCAATACAGGCATATTACATCTACGATGCAACCAAAAGTCCACAATATGAGTTAACATTTACTTCTCAAGGTATTGCATTAATCTTCAGTGCCATATCTTATACAGGCATAGACAATTTTCTTAGTCTCTCGGTATTTCATATCTCTGGTCAACTGGACATTTTGAGGGATCGTCTCTTGCATTTACATAACAACGCGAATTACAAGGACGTTTTAAAAAATTGTGTGATAAAGCACGTACGACTACTTAGGTATGTTTTTTTATTGCAGATATATTCTTACACAGATATATACATATACACGTTTTAAATATAATATAAATATATAATTAATATGTAGAAACAAAACTAAATATTGATTGCAAAATTAAATATAAGTAATTTGGTATTTGTAAGTTCTTGTATCGTAAATAGAACTTTGTCAAGTTCTAATAGAAGTTTGATTGTATAAATTTCTAATTATTTTTATTTCTACGTGTAGCTAATAAAATGTGTAAAATTATTTTAATAGAAATTTATAATATACGTAATATTTTTTTTCAAAACAGAAAAAAATATGCTTTAAATTTATATTATAATTAAATTAATGCTTTCATTTAATTTCATAAAACAATTTATACATATATATTGAGACATCTTTTAGACTTTTTAATATAAATTGTTATACTTTATATTATTTTATAGAGCTATTGATCATATAGAAGATATATTTAATATAATATTAATGATATTGTTTTTATATTTCTGCGCTCTTTTCGCTTTCTATGGATTTTGGATAATGAATGTGAGTAATTTTATAAGAGAATTCTTATTGTATAATTTATATATAAATATGTATATAAAATTTTTATATATAATATTAATATATATAATATTAATTTTTATATATAATATTAATGCAATTTACGTACATGTATGTATATATTGCATAGTTTTAATATAGAAGTAGATAATTTTAATATAAATAGAACTTCACAACTTATTAAGTTCCAGGATAACTGAATTATTGAAGGCAAAATATTACATTTATAAAAAATGAATAAGTTTATTCAGCATTTATCATGCACATCTCTTAGTGATTCTCTTCTGTCTTTTTATTTACTATTATGTTTTAAACACAGTATCTTATAAAAAAATCGGTACTCTTTAAATCTTACAACCCTACATTATTTGAATTTTTTACTTTTATTATAACTTTTTTAGGCTTGTATTTTTTTAAATAAAAACTGTTGAAATATTATATTTATTAGGATTTTTCTAATTTAAGTGACTTTTTGACAGAAACGATTTCATTAATGCAAATATTGATAACATTTTATTGAATAATAATATTTTACGTTTTTGTAACTAATACAAGTAGAAACTGCGTCTGAAACAATTTCTTTCAAAATTAAAATTAATCTAAAATTTAAAAGCACTTAAAGATAGAAATAATAATAATCAAGTACATCACAGATTTTAATAATATTAATATGCTACTGTAATACTTATAGTGACATCAAAATATTACATATTTATATTTATATTTTTAATGATATGACTTATAGATGCTCGAAAGTGGACAGCACTTGACAATCTTTCACTTGGCATATATTGTAAGCATCATGCTCAATGCGTTTGGTCACATGTGTATGTACTGTGCTGTTGGCGAAATATTAACAGCTCAGGTAAATTTGAAATTCTTTAATAGCTATTAATTACTATTTTCTTACGCATAATTGCAAATTATAGATTTACTTTAAAAATGTAACTTCATATAAATGCACTTTTTACATTTATTAAACGTAACATTTATCTTAATAAATATTGTGTGTAATATTTATTATTAACAAATAAAAAAATTTTTAATTGTTTATTTTTAATATCAAAATTTAAATTATAACTGAAATTTAATTAATTAATATTAGAATGCAAACATTTTGAAATTGCATATAAATATTTTGCAAATATCATACCATGCGATTTCACGAATTTTTAATTAACATTTTTATGTTTTCATGACAATTTTAAGTGTGATCGAATCCATTATGCTGTATATTCCAATAAATGGTATAATATGGAGTTAAAAAATATTCGGAACTTGATTCTTCTAATGATAAGAACCAATAAACCTCTTTACCTTAATATTGGTAAAGTGTTTCCGTTAACAATGGCTACATTTTGTAATGTAAGCTACATTAAAATTTCAACTATATTTTGGATATAAATACCTAATAAAATATTTTTTGTAGTAAGATTTACAATATAAGAAACTGCAAAAATAATTTAGAGCGATCATACATAAGAAAATGTTTTCACATAAAATAGAATAAAAACTTGTGCTATGATCTCTTCAATGCATTTGCGGTAATCCAACCAATGATTGAATGTCACAAGAAAACTTTTTTTACAAGCTGTCGCATGCAAGCTATGCGTTGTATCGCACAAATGTCTCAATTCTCGAGACAGTCTGTGAGAAACATTGAGAGATATATTGATCTGCAAAATTGCATAAAATTAATTTCGGAAAAAGCACCGTATCTTAACAAGTCTCTTATTAAAAGATATTTGCCTCCAAGTCAGATCTTATATTGCAAATGTCACCATGATTGCATTTCACATAAATTTTGAAATCCTATCACATTCACTCGCTAACTTTGGTATCAATCGATTATCATTTCATTAGATCATTTAAGAATTTTTTATGTAGTTGCTGTTTTCGGTCTAACAAGGATATTTATAATTCCATGCACAAGTTTGGCAGCTAGAAAAAAACTTTTTTTATTATGGCATTTCAATTATTGATTTTCCGCTGGCGCAGATACGTTGGACTCATAAAATATTAAACATAAAATTCTGATACACAGTTTTTAATGTATTTTTAATACATTTATATTTATTATGTTTCATGTCACTTTCGCAGATTTTATTTAACTCTGTTAGATGAAATTTTTTGTAAATCACTTGTAACATTTCTAATATTTAATATGATAAACGTAAATATTTTGTCGTAATAATATTTTTACTTAAAAGTGTTTTCTATTTGCATTATTACTAACGTAATTAATTATAATTTACAGCTACTAAAAACATCAGCTGGTTACATATCCGTGTTATTAACAAAAAAAAGTCAATCGAAAATTTAAAATAATATAACTAATGCCTGCTCTGACATTAAACGACAAATTTAGTAAACATTTGATCAAAGAGTTAGTATTAAATAATTTAAAATATTTAATATAAAATCATGTAAAGATTATATAATAGGAATTATGTGCATTAAATTTAATAAAATTCGTGCTGCTGATGTAATTACATTGAGTAATTATTCTATTTATTAGTGATAAAACTATAAAAACAACAAAAAGAAGATTAGCTTGGATAATGAACTAACTAAGAGAAAAAGAGACAAATTAAAACTATCACATGCAATGTTAAATAGAAAATAAAAAATAATATGTGTGGACAAATTAAAAATAATAAATTTAGAACTGCTAAAGATAAGTATACATACAGAGGATAAGCCAATTTCTACATCGATTTTTTTAACTAATTAATTTGTTTAAGATATGTCAAAACACATTAACTTTATTTGTAAGAAGAACGTATAGTGGTAACACATTTAGCCGTATTGCTGCAACTTCTTGATCAACTTTTAGTTATTCTTTTAAAAATTTTAAATGGCAACAAGAGTTAAGTGATATCATTGTATGTGTAGGCGTGCTTCAAAGATTTTTTTACTTCTTTTACAATTATATTTTGTGTCTTTAATTTAGTTAGCATTATTTAAAGTGTTTCTCAAGGATCTGTTGATATTGAAGCTTTAAATAGTATTAATTATAAACAGCCAAATCTGAATTTAAAAAAATAGAAAACAGATTTGAGAAAAATATTACATATATTTAAAACTAAATAAGAATCACGTATTTTGTATATTTATTAAACTAATAAATAATAAAGGAATAGTATAATTTATAATACAGAATTAATACAAACAATATAAACATTATAATTGTCTATTAAATATCAAGATACGAAAAAAAGTACCTACTTATTGTGTTCAATTTTTACGATGAAAATAATATTACACACAACAATTGATTGTGTATAAGATTATAGTTCAGATTATAGACACCTTAAAATCGATTACAATTGCGTGAGAACATGATCACTACACGTACGTGACCGGCTGTGAGTTAGGTCTTATCAACAAGTCATTATCTTAGTTTTTATTCATAAATATTTTGATCGTTGCTGTACTAGTAATTATCCGAAGTTGCATAACAAAAGGAGATACTTGGAATTTTTAAAACTTCTTTCATGCACACTGAATATCTCATGTTTTTAAGAATTTTTAAAACTTTCTCTTTCAAATTTTCTTTTTATCCAACAAATTTGAACGAATTATGTCAAATTAGATCAACTTTATTTTATGAAAGAAAAGGCATAATTATGACAAATTTAATCATGCTGTTTCAACTCTTTAATTATAGAGGATAGTCATCTCTTCAAAAATTTAAATGGCAACAGGAATCAAATGACTATCATTTCAAAGCTCTTTTAATTCCCTTTACAATTGCGTTTTGTTTTTTTTAATATAAATAAGTGTTTTTCAAAAAAATTATTAAAAAATATTAACTGTAAATAGTTAAAACTGAATTTAAAAAATAGAAAACAGGTTCAAAAAGTATATTATATACATTTAAATCTAAATTAATAATTAAAGATAAAAAAGGAAGTCTAATAATTAACTTGAACTGGTTCATCAGCCCTTCTTTATTCGCTTTGGGCTAATGCTATATTAAAAATTAGAAAATATAAATTGATGATGTCATAAAGTTTCGACTACAAATACATGCGTCCTCAGTGCGTTGATAAAATTAAATAATAATAACACAAATAAGTATATAACGACGTTAAACGCAAAATTAAAGTTTTGTATATGCATACGGTAACAATAATTTTGTCGAAATATTGTTTAGATATAAAAACAGTGGTTTTACATGTTAGAGTAATATAGAGTAGTGGATGTAAAAATTCTAAAGTGTGCTATCAACAATTAGGATTGTGATTCCAACTTAATAAAAGTAAGGTGAAGAGCGGAAGGATAGATTTCACGAAACACTTGTGCTCTGCATGCGTAAGTCCAAAGACTTCACCGCGACTCTAAAGATCAAGGATCACAACTTATCAGGTATTATAGGTATTGACTGTATGCCTCGTGCAATTAGAGTGTTTACATATTGATACGTTTCGTCAAGTATCATATGAATCACACATGCGGCTCACGAATCGAATCAACATTTTACCGTCGACTTATTACGCATTTGTTATTCTTGATAAATTGTCTTGAGAAATTTATGCAGAAATTTTTGTCATGTTATTTTGCAATATTTTATCATGTTATTGCTCGAAATTAATGTTTTTCTCAAAATAGAAAGTCAAAATTTCTCTGTATAAGTCAATATTTAGATTCGAATGAATTTTAAGATTAACATTAAAAAATCTTGTATTACTCGAGTCAAAATGCAACAAAAATATACACATATTGGTCGCTATTTGTTTTTTTTTTTTTGAGATAATAAGTGACTTCTCTTATTTGAAAGTGTATTGCATCCAAAATAATATATGATTCTTCGAACATTTTTTAAATTTATCTTATCGCACAAGAGGATGTGTCTCATGAATCATACAGAAATCAGAAAAAACTGTCACTTTACCACCTGTGCCTTTAATGACGTACATTTCCTTTCCTTACTAAATTATATAAATGATTAATTATTAATGATCACAACTGTGTAAATATTCGTTCATATATATAAACAGTACTAAAGAAGTAGCGTTGACTTTTCGAAATTCTGTCGAAACTACATTCCCGTACAGTGCACGTATATTTCGCAATGTTATCATTAGCATGGATTTTGATCTTCGTCGCCGTTAGTGGTGAGTAGTTAAATAAATTTAAACGATTAAATTTAACTTTTATCCTATTAAAAGTAACACTAAGCAATTATGATAATGCATGTTTGAAAGAAAAATCATATTTAAAATCAATAACACAATACAACAAAAAAATGACTTTTTTTAAACATTAAAACGCATCATTTCCAATAGTTTTTTGAACGCTGAATACAAATTCGATTGTTGAATTACCCCAATACAATTTTCAATCACAATTTTGAGAAATTTGCAGTTAAATTGCAAAAAGAGTTATTTTTACAATGTGAAGGTATTTTGTCATATTATAATTACGATTTGTGTATTGGAGTAGTTTTATTGCAATCAAAATATGAGCATTTTAAATTTGTCAATTTTGACATCAGATTTATATTCAGCAATTAAAAAAATACTCTTATTTTTAAATAAACAGAATTAAAAGTATTTAATAAATATAATTATCGAATTTACAGTTTTTCCGCAATGAACTCCATATATTTAACCATCAATATCTTATTAACTCTTAGAATCGAAAAAATTCCTTTTAAAACTTTTTGAGGATTATTTTTAATAATATATTTAATTTTAATTGCAATAAAATTTCCTTAGCTCATATTGCCATATATTGTAATTATAATACGACAAAGTACATAGTATTTTGTACTGTTCCAGTACTATGTACTGGAACAACAGAAAATAGTTTCTTTTTGCTCTTTTGAAATGATTAGTCTTGTTCTGAGTTTTTTTTTGTTAAACTGTGTAATTACGTAAATGCTTCCAAAATGATTTAATTGCACACGTTGTGTGGATTAATCTATTCGCATTGTGCGTAAAACAAAATAGAAATTATTATCTCTTTTACCATATTCACTTTTTGCTATTAAAAAAATTGCACTTTTGATCTTAATGCAAAAAAAAAAATTAATCATATCTTTTGAAAGTAACAATAAATGTTCATATCAGGTGCCAATGCTGAAATAACGCAAAACGACGTTAATGTTGATATCACAAAGTATCCAAGTGTTGTATCGATTAGAAGGAATGGCAAACACGTATGCTCCGGTGCCATACTTGATGAGTATCATGTCATCACATCGGATCGATGTGTTCCCCCGTTCAAACATGTCTGGAACGTTATGAACAATATAGTCGTAGTGAGCGGCACGAGCAGCCTTAAGCCCGGCGGCATTCGTACGTTTGTTAAAGAAATGTTCTCGCAAAATCATCATGTTAACCCACTTGAAAATAACGTTACTAGCGGACTTGGAGTGCTTAAGGTATATATTAATATTTATACTTATTGTTTTTATACTATAATTGAGTGTTTATCATGTATTTGTCATTCGCTTTGATTTTTAAATTAAACTCTACACACAAAGAGAATTTCCTTTTAAAATTTATCCTGAAAATTTTGTTAATCGTGGAACAACATAGTATTTTGACAAATTTTACTGTGCACTACAATAAATTTGTTGTAGTATATATTAAAAAAATAGTGAAAATCATATAAAATTCGTCGAAATACTATGTTGTCCTATGATTAACATGATTTTCAGGGTAAATTTTAAAATAAAATTTTCTCCGTGCACACAATTATTTAATTTACTATTTATAATAAATAATTTGCTTAAATAATTTATATAATTCTTTGTTTAATTCTTTTTCTAATTAAAATGCTAAAAATTGTTACTTAGACATCTTCTTGCCAAGTCAACCATTGAAATGCTGAGATCTAAAAAAATGTAGAATTCCTTATAATTTTGAAAAATTTATTATATAGTCTTCGACGATATCAAACGCAGAGATTGTAGTAACATGATAAATGAAATTTTTGCAGCTCATACGACCACTTCAATTCGATAAGAATACACAGCCGATTGTGCTATCTGAAACCGAAGTACCACTGGGCGCAAAAGTGCAGATGGTTGGGTGGATGATAGCCGACCATGAAGGGAGAAAGACCGCGAATCTAAAGGAACTAACGTTAACAACGGTAAACCTTCAAGAATGTCAATCATTCCACGAGAAAGAGCTCTCTAAATCTGAATTCTGTACTCAAGTAGAATCCGAAAGTAATTATTGCAAGGTAAGAAAATATTATAAAAACGTAACATTGAAAGGAAACGGAATATTTTAATATATGCTACTATTAAATATTAAGTATTAATTTGATTCTAACTTAATTCTGCGTCATTATAGATATTTCATTTTTATTAGATATTTTTTATTGTGTTATTGGTGTTAATATTGGTACAAAAGAATCAGATAATTGTTTAAGGGGATGCTAAACTGAAGATCAAATGCGTCGTAGTTTGACGATTTATAAGTCTGCATGTAATATTGATGTAATAGTGTGCAATACACACATACACACACACACACACACA